AATGTTGTTGATATCATTATATTTACACTTCTGAATGTGTTTTATCCAAATAACGGGACTGAAAGCTGGTATGATATATCGCAATCGATGTGAAAACACTTACACATATAACAATGATATAGAGTTTTCACAATAAAAATATTAAAACAAGAGAAAGAGATGAGGTAGGTTACAGTTTCGTTTCCTAAATCGCTTCTTTCAATCGTGCTTATGATCCACAGAAGTGGAAAAAAATCACCCCTAAAACCCTACTCTCCTCCACTTCCACGTCTAACTTCCACATCTCGAAATCATAATTTGTGAATTTTGCTCGTGTCAGCCGACGAGCGACAAATGTCAGCCTTGCCCTCTCTCTGCCAGGGATTGAAATATTTATACCGTGTAGAGTGCTCGGTTAAATGTGCGTTCGCGAATACCGTTTGATTTACGACGCTGGGTTATGCCGGTCAGATTGTTAGTTTTAGTCTTTTTATGTACTATTTTTTGGAACAATTTTTTGCAATAGCTATTTCGCGCAGTCAACAATAAACACAATTCCACCAAAAATATTTACGTAAATAACAATAAACTGTTAGTTGTTATTGACCGCAATTTAAAATTTAGCACATCTTGGCTTCTAACATATATATATATTTCTAAAAAAACTTGTAAACGTTTGGAATATTCTGTGTAAATGCATAATACACATACAAGAATATAATGCACACATTGAATAGGAATTTATCTATTATCTATAGAAGAGAAGCCTAATATAAATGAAAAAATGGGTTTTCCTGCAATTAATAATTTTTCACCATAAAAGATTTTTATATCTTGTTACATAGTGTGGCCAAAATTGCTTTATTTACACTTTTACGTTTAATATACTCGATTAGAAGCTATTTTCAGAGATTGCCGTACACGTCAACGCGAGACATTTTATCGTACTTTTCGTTCCAGTTATTTCCGGGTGTACACGAGCTTGCGTTTCACATCTAGTGAAGCGTCGTACCCAAATTCGCTGTATAAATATTTAATTCCCGCGGGATTTTCGCGGGCAGAATCGATACGCGCGAACCGCCTGAAAAGCGCCAACACCGTTCTCACACCGTTGAAAAATCTATGCAGTTCTTGTCACGCAAATACTTGAACTGAATTGAAAATTGAAACGATACATGCTGTTTAAACAATCGTAGAATAATTCAAGCTAATAATAAGGTAAAAATTAATTATGCTGCGTAAACTGTGCATAAAACTGTTACGCTAAAATTATGATGTGTAAATAAATATCATTGAGGTAAAAGCAGATAAGTACTTTGTCAAAATTAATTTAATAGGAACATATAAAATTTTATATTTTTCTCTTTTACAACCTTTGTGTGTTTTTATAGCAATTTTATGTAATAAAAATAATATATATCTGATGTAACATGTAGTATTGTCATTATTATCTTTGTCAGTCTAACTTTGCAAATATTTTTCTCATCACAAATTTTTGAATAAATTCTAACTAATGAGATTTATTACAAAATATTCTAATTTTTATTACGTGGTACAATTAAAAGAGTTAATTAAATTTTCATGGTGCATATATGTCGCGCGCTACAATAATGTAAATAAGAAATAAAGTTGACTAAACATTTTTAATAAATCAACATCTTTTGAATTGTAAGTAGATTGCGCAACTTTTCATCGTTAAATTGCATACTTAATCGACACGACCTTAATCCGAAACGACTCACATTCTCTGATTTCCGAGCAACGGTTCGATTGTTGCGAGGCCGCGTACGAAATTCACTCGGCAAGTCGGAGGCTCTCGAGAGCCGAATCGCAGAGAGTCTGCACAGCTCGCAGCGGTAACGACCGCCACCGTCGAAATAGAACGGAACGAGAAGGTGGAGCGGGGGCGGGAGTGAAAAAAGCCGACGAGGGGTAGTGCCGAGTGAGACGAGAGAGAGCATGAAAGCCGGCGGTTTCGTCGGGGGTGGTTGAAGGAGAAGAGGCGAGGGGCTCGGGACGGGTTCGAGTGGATGCGGATATTGCAGTCGGCCAGGTTCGATTTTGCCTTAACGGCGAGAGTGGATATCGAATGATCCACATAGTCCGGGCACCTTTCGAGCCCCTTTTCAGCCTTACCCGCTCCCGTGGCCTCTCACGAGTGTAGGACTAATCTGGAAGGGAGGGGGTTAAGCCCGAGCTGTCAGAAGGGGCGAAGAAGAGACTCCGTGAAAGCAGAGGGCGGGAGGGAACTGGGTGGAGGGTCGAATTAAGCCCGGACGTCGGACTCTCCGTCGGTAACCTAACTCACGGGGGTAGTATGCGTGCCGGGGTCGGGCTGCTAGCCTAACTCCACTTAAATTAAAGCAATCTATCCTGCGGAACTCTCGCGCTAAGCCGACAGGTTAAGCGAGAGCGAACGCGCTCTCCCCGGCGCGCGCGCTTTCCTTTACTTTCCAGGTGAACACGTTGTCGACTGAACGCCGAGGATTTGGTCATGTGAGCCGTCCTCTCTGTTCCTTCTCCTTATATTCCGCGTGCTTGTCTAACTGCAAACGTTCTACGTGGTTATCACTGACATTGTTGAGAACTACTTAAGTGATTCTTCAACAAATCACCTTCAACAATTTTAACGCATATTGTTGCTCCTTCATTCTACTAATATAATATTAAATATTAAAAAATTTATCTCTTTCTTCCGTCACAGTAAATAACTAATGCGAAATATCGCTGTCTCTCCCCGAAGTTCATCCTGAACAAAACTCACAATAAAATTTCAAAATACTTACGGAATTAAATAAAAGCAAAAAAAATGCAATCTTTGTTTGTATTGTGTTTATATCGCTTATTATCGCATATTATCGCATATTTTCCTGATCACGATAGCTTAGAGCTCTGGCTCGAGGTGAACACTATTCCGCTTTCTATTCCTTTCCTCTTTCATCCTCGTTTCCTTTCACTGCCACGGACGCGTTACACGCTTGTTCGCTAGTGGTTAGTTCGACGATCAAAGCGCGAGCGAAGCACGTATCGTCGTTTAATCCGCTCTTCTGGATGCTCCGGTTACTACCCGTGCGCGAGCGCCCGCTTCGGCGTAAGTCACGGAATTGCGCGCACGCCGCGCGGAAACGTTTAAGACTTAATCCGGCTAATCCGACCGTTGGGAGAACGCGACGCGGATTGACGACGTCGTCGCCGACGACGCGGTGCCCGCGATTTATTTTTTACGAGATCCACCGCATATTGCTCCCTTGCCTCGCGCTGGGAGATGGAATGGTTTTACGATGCGAAATTGTTGGCATTAACCAGAAATGGAAAACTTTTATACGGCTTCCGTTTTCGATTTTAGGCTCGATTATAGAGAAAAATGTATTCTTCGACTAAAGTTAGCATTTTCGTAATAAAAAAAAATGTAAAATCTTGAATAATCTGCGAGCACATTCTTATGCTATAATAATAATTTTATTATAATAAATATTTTGCACGTATAAATATTAAGTTAGATCGTAATTTTTAATAAAAAATACTCGAATACTCTATTGATCAATCCATACATATTAAATTTGTGATAATTTATAATTATTTTAGAAAACCAAGAGAATATATATAGTTTGTATTTGCCTTAAATTTACTCTCAGCTTAAATATTAATATTTATATTTTAATATTTTAATAATTTTATACAACTTTAATATTAATATAAAAATTTAATATTTTAATTGGCATTAACGCATTGAAAAACGTTAATTCAGTAAATTAAGTAATTATATTATCAGATAATTAAGTAATTATATTATAAAATAAGTAATTATATTACGAGAATATCGTAAAATGGAGCAGCATGCATAAGGATTTTGTAACGGCGGTCCGGGCGTTGTAAAGCGTACGTAACAGTTTTTCATAATTACACAGCATAAAAAATAATTTGCGACGTAACGAGCTTCGTAACCATAGCGCGTAGGAGCGAGGTCGTTTCTGTGTACGTGTTCTACATGCTTACACGCACCGCCTCATAATTGGACGCACGCTGTAATAAAGTGTCACGAGACAAAACATCGATTATATTCGGGCGGCGGCAAGTTTTTTTTCGCAGCTAGCTCTTTATCTGTAAACGTTACTTTTTTTCATCGGCGATAACTTGCTTTTCGTGAATTAGAATTTTTTATCAAAAATGTATTTAAACTTCAAAGTCGTTTTCTTCTTCTTTCTCCGCGAACATTTTCGGAGCGCGTTGGTCGACACTAATCCGATTCCGCGGACTTCGTTATCCTCGAGAGGAATAGATGGAAATCGCGGGTGAAATTCGAAAATCAAGTCAATTGCGGAGCGTCGCGACGCGTCGTGTCGGACTAATTCGCGACGCGTGAGCGAACGAGCGCAATGTCGGAGCGCGATTAAATCGCGGGCGAATGCCGATCTGAAATTACACCCGGTGCGCCGGCATTACCGGATCGTGTCGTCTCGGATTACGGCTGCGTTTCTGTCTTACTTGTCTTACCGGCGACAAGAATGTAATACGGAAACAAGACACCTGGACACGAGAGGTGGCACGCGGACACGGAGAAACGGCGTCGCAAACGCGCGTTCCTTTCCTCGAGTCCCACGAAGACGCCTCGACCGGCAGCGTAAGAAAGTATCAGAGAGGAGAAAATCACGTTTAATTCACCACATCGAAGAATTTATATATTGCGTTAATTCGTGGCGGAAATTCGCTACGTGTTGAAAGGTACGTATCTCAGCTCTCGGTTTTCAGGTTTTCAAATATTTTTAAAGTTTTTCTCGCATATTCTGTATTTTAAAATAAAAGAATCTAATTTTTATTGTCTAAAATTTTCAAATTTTAATATTGCTAAAAAAATGCGAAATTGATGTCCGTGTAATAACTGCGATAAATTATGTTACAGAGTAATTATATTAAATACCACAATGGTATTAAAGCGCTCGTGACAAATTCTCTCTGATGTGATGATTACTAGGTGACGATGAATATAATGATTGCTTCTTTCTTTTTCAATTGAAATGCAGACGCAAAGCTGGAAACGTTGCAATCACGAAATTAAACGCATATGCATTTTGCATTCTATGGAGCGGCTAATTCCTAATGGAAACAAGAGTATCACCTAGGAGCTAAAAGCCGGAGGAGCTTTAGGGCAATCAATCATGCAAATTGCGATCGCGGCAAAATCTCTGGGACTCCGTTCACGATTCCATATGGTAATGCCGCTAATGCACCGATCGCGTATCAACGGACATATGGGGTGTCTCCGAAGTCACGCGTTCTCTACTCGCAGAATATTAGGAGTCTTATTTGAAATTATAGTAACAATTATTTTAAAATAAAATTATATTTTAAGTTAACAATAATTAAAACAAAGAATTTCGATAATTATGATACAAGTGTGCAAATTTGAGACAAAGTCTTGTTTTTTTCAGATAAATTCAAACAAATACTACGCATCTGTATTCGAAACACTTAACATTGAAATAAGAAAAGAGTACAAAGAAGTGACGATTCTCAGATCTAATTAGTGCTACGGTTCCGGTCAAAGTCGGCACCGTATACATCCCGCACATCGTTATATTTAGCAAATAACGAGCGCAATCTGGCTCCATTCAGCGGCGATTATTTATTAATTATTAATTGTATCCGTATCGATTCGCACATAAACTATTTTTTTCTAGCAATAAATTATACGACCAATTAGCTACTTTGCCGAATAAAAATATATTTGAAATGTTACTGCAGACCTCTTAATATTGTAAATGCAATCACAATTATTCTGAAAATGCAATAAATATGCGGTATCATTGATTTAAGTTATTAGTTTACTCATTATATTGAGGAAAATCGCATTGCATAAAATGCGCGAATGTTCACAAAAAGAGAAGTTACATATTACGCTGTATAGATACTTTATCGACTCATCGGCCACAGTAATAATTGATAAAGTTCATTATCGAGATGGCATCGATTTGTTGCAAATGCAATACACGGCCGTTAATTAAATATTACACAAAATAACGAAGCGAATAATTTTCTACCCCACTCTATACCTCGTTCTCCTCAGTGATTTCTGTGATTTACTGCTTTACTCATATATGTGATAGTTATATAAAAGTTATCGAAAGCAAATTATTTATTGCTGTAATAATTCATTGTGTTTCTCTACTTCTTAGTCAATTATCGGAAATAAATTTCCATATTACCGTTTCTACGCTTCTATAACTTTTCCTTATTTTCTAATATTTCTTTCTCGTATACTTAAATACAAACGTTTTTAATTAAACTTAATTAAAATATGGTATTTTTATACAATCCAACTGTGCTTTTTATTACTTTAATTTTATAATATCTCAGCATTTATGTTAAGAAATAGACGATTGTTCTGAAATATTTTGAAGACAAATTCCAAAAAATTCTAAAGTATAAAAAAACAACACTATTTTATGTTTTTTTTTTTTTTTTTTTCTTTTCTTGTATCTCTTGTATCTCTTTTTGTTCCTTTCTTTTACTTCCTTCCATTATCAGGTGACTCGCGCTTTTAATAGAGAGAACCTTCCAAGTTTAACGCGATTTTACGCGACGCGATCAAACGGCCGAGCTGTTTATTATTTCATCGGAGACCTCAACGTACCGCGTGATTATGGTGTGTTTTAATATCACGATATTAAGCCCTTTTTGAACGGCTACTCAAAGGACTAGCGGAGTGAAGCGGGAGGCGTCATAAGCCGGGATTGTCGACACGGCGCGTATATCGACGCGCGCCCCTCGTCGCCGTCGGCGAAATGCGTCGATTCGACGGTACGGAGAGATCCAATCGAATTAATTATCGTTCGTTGTTAATTACCGCGGGCCGACCGATAAAACGCAGCCGTCCATAATCCGAGGACCCGTGAAAAAACGGGGAGACGAACAAAACACGGCGCGTAAAAACGACCGGTTTTTCAAGAGAAGAGAAACGCATGTGCGTTTTTCAGTCCTGAAAATGTTGCGAGACAATGAATTTCAATTATCGCCGTCGCGAGATGTACAAAACTATTTAGACCGTTATTTAAATTTCCCAAAATTTCGCTGGCGTGATGAAATACGAAAAGACGGAAGTGACAAATTACTTTTAATCAAACTGATTTGCGATTAAACTATGAGCATCTCGCAGTTTAATAAACACTTTCAACTATTCATCCGATAAAACTGTACGAGCTCTTCGGTTCAAAATTCGAAAAACAGCTTAATAATGAGAATTCATCATCGATTGAAAAAAAATACAGTTTTTTATACTTTATTCTATACTTTATCTTATAGAGCTCGCATTGCGACCGACTTTGTTCTCCCAAACATTGCAACCGATGGAGGATTAGAAACTTCCGGGTACTTCTTATCCGGATTTGTGGTACCCTCAGGATTAAAGGACGAAATCGGCGGATCGATGTCATGCCCGTTGAAATTCCGTACAGAGCTTTTAAATCCAAGAGAGCGCATTCTACCGCCATCTACGCGCTGATGTAGAGAACTGTAATCCGCCCGGGCGACAAACACTTTGATGTGCAAACACTTTGTGCGAAAATGTTCTCTCTACTTGTGTGCACGAAAAAAGCTCCTTAGACGTATCGTGAAACCGTTTGTAAGCGATATATGGCGCTCTAAAACAGAGTTCAGGCTAATATCTTGTGATTTTCGCGAAATCATGGACAGTTTATAACCGACGACGACGAAGAGAGGTCGATTGCTCTAATATACAGAGCTCCGGTTACAATTAGCGATTTAGGCCCTAAAACAACTATTAATATTAAGGCTATCGGCGAGCAATTTCAGCGATGTTGATCAATTTTTACAAAATGGAAAAGACAAATTCAATTGCTTCGTAATACGTATGAATTGGATGATAAAATAACTAAGATTCTAATAGTCTCGCACTTGAAAAAGAGAAAGCTCAAAATTGGTTTTATTCCAAGCCAGAAAATTTAGAAAGAGACAGCGAAGCATTATTAAACGAGTTAAGAGAAATATTTGATTTTCGACCTAACAAACTAGAACTTCACGAACAGTTCGAATCAAGGACGTGGCGAGTGAACGAGACTTTTAGCGATTATTATCATGATAAAATTATTAGAGCAAAGTTCTTATTCCAGAGGATGAGATCATGGGTTATATATCATTGATGGCATTCCTGATTACCACTTATAAAATCATGCTAGGTTACAGAGTTTTTCCTCAATGCCTATCTTACTTCAGGCGTTTAAGAAAATTTTATTACATCCAGAGCGAAAAGAAGATAAGAAATGTTACGAGAAGCCTGTAGCAGAAGCGGTGGGGACGAGGCGAAGAAAATGATAACAGTCGAGATCTTCGTTGTTACAATTGTAACAAGGCCATTGTGAGGATCGTAAAACGTTGCAAACTATATTATGATGAATTGCTTAACGGTAAAAACATTAATAACCACCGATTATATCAGTATCACTATTTCTTTAACCCGTTGACATTAATAATCGCTATCTAAATCCGTATTTAATGGTGGTCAAATGTAACACACGCATCTCTTGCATCTCAATGTACCAAAACGTCTGGGCGATCATCGCCAAGATGGATGATCGCCAAAGCAAATTATCGTAAACGAAGGTTCCCGGCGTGTTGTGCTCGTGTCTCCTTCGTAGAACACATTGACGTAATTTCGGTGCAGGAATATTATTGAGCTTGTTTACTTAATTTCGGCTCCTTAATTTTTTCCGACGCTTACGAAGATAAATAATTGTATCAATTAGCGAAGTGATATGTTATTGAAACAACCATCCGCAGTCGGCAGATATTACGATCAATTAGTAATCATTAAGATAGACGAGATTGCGTCATACACGTTCTCTCAATCGTTGCCGCTATCGCAATTTACTGCCGATTTTCGTAGCGTAAAAAGTCGCGAATATCGTTTGCATTTAAAATACCGAAGATTGAAAAGAAATAACTGTTTACTCATAAATCTACTATTCTATCATCAATCAACATAAAGTAATAGACTTCTGAGAAAAGAAGCGAATTGCGTTTGCAGTTGAAATAACAGAAAATGGCAGAAGATTATTGTTTACTCAGAAGACCGAGCTCGTCTATCATCAATCACAATGAAATGATAGACTTTTAAGCGAAGAAATTATTATTCAGCATATTCTTCGAGTAATTTTATATACAAGATATTTCAAAATCCAGTGAAAATATTGAATATAAAATCTTTCGATCGTTCCACATAATCGTTTAGAAAACATCAATAACAAATTACTCGAAAGATTCTTACGTGAAGGAAAGAGCGCTAGGCAGCACGCATAATTTTTCACACAGAGTAAAAATTAATTAACATCGGGCAGTTAATTATCCGTATTATACAGCGCACTCAAATACAAGCCTTCGCGAACGCAACTACCGCAAACCACCGAGGCAGCGCGTCCTCATCGTTTCATTCTCGTCTTCGTAATTTGCGCGCATCGAAATAATCTCGAGGCAAGAACGATCGGCGTGACGGCGCCCGTCGTAAATCACCGGTCGATCCGATCGCGGCGAGCGCCGCGGCGTCATCCGTCTCTGACAAAGTGCGAACCCGCCGAGGGATCTTCCGCCGCCCCGGCAACTTCCGGCGGTCGTTATTTACGGGGCTAGATTGGCGGGACTTGGGGAGCTCGAGTTCCAGCGCGAGAGGCGTGAGGTCGGGATCGCAAATTGATCTCGGAGCTTGGGAGACGGTGGCGGCGGCGACGGCGGCGGCGTCGACGGTAGCGGCAAAGGCGTCGCCTTTTATCGCTCACCGATGCACTTCCTCGCGCCACGTCCCGGCGACGAAAGTAATTTTCTTAGACCACTATCGCGCGCGACGCTCGTCCCATGTCTTTTCGCGACGGGTCGCTTAAAAAATGCATCCCCGAGAAATCGATGTGTTATCGGGAGAAATGTTACGTGCATGCAATTTGTGAAATAGCATTTTCTGAGTGATGTAGTGTTCGCGCAACTCTTGGATTCCAGATCGGATATAGAGTCTGCTCGCTTCATATAAAACGGATTAAAAATAATAAACTTCAAAAATTGAAATGTTTCACGCTCTCCAACTTGATAAAAATTTGCTAAAATATATTGCCGTTTGTTGCGACAGACAAA